AAGTCATGCCACGGCTGCAGCTTCTCAGTGGCATCATTCACAGTCGGGTAATTAGCAGAAAACAGAGCAGAACTTGAATTTCGGCACGGGATTTTTAATAATTATTAGCCTAAGGGAGTTTGCAAATGTGATATTGATTTAATACAACAGGTCAAAAAACAAGATGTAAATATTAAGTGACTTGCGTTGTCTGGCTATAACACTACTGACTGATTTTACTCCGTTTCATCAACGAAAATAGTTCAAATAAAGCCACAGCTCAGCCGCTACGCATCTCTAAAAGTAGACACAGCAGTGTTTCATTCATGAATGAAAGTGTGTTTTTAAACTAATCTAGTGAGTCAGTGATTCATGATTACTCATTCATAAAGACAGTCACTTGCTTCATTCCTGAATGAATCAGCCGTTCGAACGAATCAATTAAATGAATGATTCAGTGATAAAATGACTTGCCGCCACCTGCTGGCGGATTTAGTTTTATTTTTAACGTATCATTTCAGTTATTTAAATCAATTAGCTAATATTTTCTATATTCAAAATGTTATACTTAAAACATTAATCTCAACATGAATTTATTTGCTTTACTTTATTTACTTTTACTTTTGTGTTCTTCTGTGCATCCTCTGTATACAGGGTTAGGTAACCCTAACTCTAACCCTACTATAGTACAAATACATTTTTTATTAATACTAATTTCATAGGATTGGTAACTTATTTGTCTTATTCTACTTCTTATTATATTGTTTTAATTAGAAATTTTAAAAAGCTTATAAATATAATTTTTTGAATTTGACATAAAAGATGAAATATTTTTAATACATTTAAAAAAATGCCATTATAAAGGTAAAAAAAAAAAAGCTCCTGTAAATCACTTTAAGGAGTCAAATTAATATCACGTATTAGGAAGGCTAATTTTTGATTATTGATCAGAAGGTGCTCCTCATTTTTTTTTAATTAGGAGGACAAGCGCTAATTTAAGGAGGACAAGGAAGAGCAGAGCCCTGTGTAACAGTTTATTAGATCCGTGCATGAAGTCTTAAAGAGACAGCAGCCTAAATAAACCTGCTGCTGTCTGTCATTACTGTTTATTCATACAGTGAATAATATCCAGTGTTATTTTACAGTTGAATAGTTTATTCAGTTTCTGTTGTAATTCAGTTCCTATATTTTATAGTTTAAAAAAATTTAAAGTACTGTTAATTTAATTTGTATCTTATTGTTTTTGTTTGTGCTATTGATTGTCATTAATTTACTTGTTCTTATTTTATTATTTTCTATGTACTTGTCTTTTTTATTTAAAATAAATTCAATTCTGAGTGCACGTGGTTCTCGGGAGGGGCGGGGTGTGGGATACGAGATAGTCCTGCCACCACAGCTGGAAAAAATCCTGGAGGAAATATATATACAGTGGTGTGAAAAAGTGTTGGCCCCCTTCCTGACTCTGTATATAAAATAATATTAGTATAGTATAATATTTAAAATATAAAATAGTATAATATTTCATATAATAGCTTATTAAAATTTAATAAAACAAATATTAAACTAAATACCATATTTAATAATAACAACAAAAATCTTAATGTTGTTCCTAATGATTTATCAAATAATAATTGTTTTTGTAAATGGAATGTAAGCCCAAATATAGGATGTACAGTCATAGCACCCGTCTCACACATTTTCTTTCTGGTTTTGACGCGTGCTGTTTCCTGTAGCTCTCGTCTTGAGTGTTTCCTCACAGTGATCTTGTGAGTGAGCTGATACTGTCTGACGGCTCTGTGTGTGTGTGTGTGTGTGTGGGTGTGCGAGTGTTCTCTTCCTACAGTGAGCTTCCTACAAACTTAGCTGTATAAGTCATTTCAACTTAAATTATATTAAAGTGTGTGTGTGTGTGTGTGTGTGTGTGTGTGTCTGAACCCGTCTGTGCCGTGCATCACTCGTGCATCAGCAGCGCTTCAAACAGACAGTGGCTCAGTGTTTCTGTCCTCACGCCTCGTCTCAGTGTTATCATCACACGTATGAACCAAACCAGTGAGAGTAGCACTGCGAGACAGAAAGACAGTTAATAGAGACGGTCCTGATGGCCCCCTGTGTGTGTTCCTTTTTTTCTTGTTTTGATATTTTTAGCTGCAGTTCTTTAATTAGTGAGCTGTGCTTTAGCGGTTTGACAGTAAAATCATCACAGAGACGCTGTCTGCTGTTCATCAAACACTCAGGGTTAATGTCTGAAAGTCTCTTCTGCTCACCAAGGCTGCATTTAATTGATAAAAAATACAGTAAAAACAGTGAAATGTTATTACAATGTAAAACAGCTGTTCTATGTGAATGTGTTAAACTGTAATTTATTTCTGTGATGCGCAGCTGTATTTTCAGCATCATTACTCCAGTCTTCAGTGTCACATGATCTTCAGAAATCATTCTAATATGCTGATTTGCTGCTCAACAAACATTTCTGATTATTATCAATGTTGAAAACAGTTGTGCTGCACAATATTTTTGTGGAAACTGTGATACATTTTATTTTTCAGGATTCACAGATGAATAGAAAGTTCAAAAGAACAGCATTTATTTAAAATAGAAATCTACTGTAACATTATAAATGTTTTTACTGTCACTTCTGATCAATTTAATGCGTGCTTGCTGAATAAAAGTATTAAATTCTTCAAAAAACACTGACTTTATGTATTATTGATATTCACACAAATGACAACTTATTCTTTACTTATTGACTTTTTTCAATAAAAGTAGTGCTATTCATCATTAAATCTATAGTTTGCTCATCATTCACTTAAAACTTAAATTTTTTTATTTTGGTAAGTTTATTTTAATAAATTGAACAGAAATCGATTTACAGTCAGATGGCTGTTTCTGACGCCGCTCATCACATGATGCTAATGATGATTTCTCCTGTGAAGAGACACGTTTTGGCCGATAAGCAGAAAAGCTGCGCTGCTGTTTCAGGACAAACCAGTCTGAACACAGGAGACAAGAGCTGTGTTTCAGGGAAATTTCATCAGAATTATTGTGTTCAGACTGAGTTCATCTCAGCCGGTGCATCATTCTTGTGTTTTAAATGAAGGATGATGATTTTCAGGGCTGTCAAGAGATTAAAACTTTGTATCTAATTATTAATGAATCTAATTTGGGGTGAGAAATTATCTTAAGATCATTTAAAGTTATTATTGTGTTAAATGAGAAAAGCATTGAACAAACTGTACAAATTTTGATTTGACATTGTGAAAACGATGATAATAGGTATTAGGGCTGGACGATATGGCCAAAATTGATATCACGATATATTTCTTAATTTCGGTCGATACGATATAATTCCGATATCGATATGAACACTAATTATCTGAAATAGAAATCTTTTGTAACATTATAAATGCCTTTATCATCACTTTTGATCAATTTTAAGCATCCTTGCTAAATAAAAGTATAATTTCTATAATTTCTTTCCC